CTTCAGGAAGTGAGGGACCCCTGTCTCCCCCTTGCCTGTGGAGAGAAGAGGGTGAGGGAACGATTTTCCCTGAGGCCGGCCACCCTGAGGACTTTACTCTTCCCAGTTCTCAATGAGAAAGCTCCAGGTTAGCTGCAGATCCTCTCAAGTCTTCCAGCCCGACTGTAGAGCCAGCTTCTTCCTCTGGGCTTTGCTGGTTCTGGGTGCTAAACAGGAAGCCTATGCTCCAAGGTTCCCAGGTTGGAACCTAATGGCAGTGTGGCTGGTCCTGCTGTCCTTGCTGCTGCAGGACAGCAACTGTCTGCAGGCTGCAGAGGCGGAAGGACACCACAGGTTTAACCTGCAGACCCTCCCACCCTCATCCCATCCATCTGTAATCTCTCCATCCCATTCACTTGGCACCTGAGAGCCCTTTATAGTGGATGGTCCAAGTGATGCTTTTCCAACCCCCGACACTGATGGTTCAGGTTGTGCTCTCTACATTCACATTTGGTTGTTTTTCTTTCACTAAGAGCCTGTCTTGTCCCTTGTCTGGTCAATCTTTGGAGTCTGTTTCCCAAACCAGGCAGCTAAGTGTCCCATGCCAGGACCAAGGAGGTTTTTGATGGCAGAAGCACCTTCTCTTGAGACCCAGGGAGCCTAAACAGCATCATTCCCCTTAGCCAAAGCTGGGAGCAGAGGACCGAACAGCAGGGTAGTCCAAATCCCGTCATTCCCCAGATCTCATTCTCTTCCTTACAGCCGCTTTGGTGGTGCAGTGGTTAAGCACTCGGCTGCTTACAGAAAGGTTGGTAGTTTAAACCCACCAGCCACTCCAAAGGAGTGTGGTAGTCTGCTTCTATAATTATAGCCTTGGAAACCCATGTTGTTGTTAGGTGCCATCAAGTCAGTACTGACTCATAGCGACCAGTCACTCCTTGGAAACCCTATACAGCGTTGCTTATGAATCGGAACTGACTTGATGGCTCTTAACAACCACAACTTAGGGTGACTATGTTAAATTGATGTTTTTTCCATCTTCTTTTTTTTTTTTTTATGTGCTTCAAATTAATTTTCATTACAAAAGTAATACATTTTCTAAAACTCCGAAGTAAAAATTGTATCAAGTGGACTTCTTTTCTGCTGTTGTTCATTGGGTGCCACTGTAAAGTTAGTTTTGGTCCTGGTGTGGCACTGTAGGATAATGTGCTAGACCACAAGGTTGGTTTCAACCTCAAGGTCAGAGGTTCAGATTCATCAGCCGCTCCTCGGAAACCCTACGCAGGGTCGCTGTGAGTCAGAACCGACTCGACAACAACATGGCAGAGTAGAACTGCCCCATAGAGTTTCCTAGGTGTGACACTGTGGGTTAATGCACTGGATTGCAAAGTCGGTTTGAACCACAAGGTCGGTGGTTCAAGTTCACCAGCTGCTACTTGGAAACCCTATACTGGGTCGCTGTGGGCCAGAACCGACTTGACACCACTTCACAACAACGAGCATTATGGAAGCAGATCACCAGGTCTGTCTTCTGTGGAGCTGTTTAGGTGACTTTGAACCGCAAACCTTTCTTAGCAGTCAAGCACTTAACTCTTTGTGCTACCATCTTGAACGATTTGTTGTTTATTGTTCTAGGTCTCTGTGCCCTCAAGTGTATTGGCATGCACAAACAGACTCCTTTTACATCCTCTGCTTACAGAGATGGGGTCTTATTCTGCATGTCGTCCTGCAACTTACTTTGTAACATCTAAAAGTATCACGGGAGCTATTTTATGTTCACACATCAGGGGGCTGTCTAGTTCCACTTGGACTTAGTGTGGTGACGTATGGGGTGGATGTGGGAATTACCCCCCCCCCCCCCCCCCC